CAATGGCATTAGTCTTCTACTATTAATACCATATATCATCTGTTTAGTCTTGAGAATCTGCACATGAGTATAGACCTCTACATTGTGTACAATCCCACGTTGTGAGTCTTCACCTTGGATGACCCGCCTAACAGCATCCCCTGGCATTAGTGATCTGTCTTGTAACACCACCTATCAATTGAGCAATCACATATAGTGTCTAAACCACAATGGATTGGAGTGATTATACAAATGTAAAGGCATCAAAAATATTGAGGTAAATGAAGTCTAGAAACATATCACAGTCTTGTATAGAATAAATCATGAAAAACATTCAAATAAAAAAATACAAACTTAGTTTACAAGATGGTCTTATTTCAAACTACATGTATGTCTCCAATTCTTAAAGTGTAACTGAATTGGGACAATTGACTTTTTTTGTGTGCAAAATGTATTTATAAACAACATTTGAAAAAAAAAATCAAGTGAAAAATGTACATAAATTAAATAAACGATCAATAATAATGGACATGGGCATTTTCTTATCCAGAACACTTTAAGTCTATGCTGAATTTAAAACAGTCAATAAATGGTCATCCACTGACAATACAAGTAAAATCTAGCCAACATGTCCAGGTTATGGAGAGGGGTGAAAGAATCACAAAATAGAACAAATGTAACCAGGCTACATTCTTTGTAGATATCTTTATTAACAAACTGGTACAAGTTTTGGATTTTTAACTCCTGGACATGTGCAGATACCAACTACGTTACTTTTCGGAGATTTTTGATAATTTGATGTGAATCCTAAGAAAGTTTATTCCTTGAACAAAGCCCCTGTGAAATTATTTCTACTCCACCACAGTTATATTCTGTTTACTCATTTGCATATTTGAATCAAATGTCATGGTGAATAATTCATAATACTTGTGACATCATTTAAAAAAAAATGGTATTTGCATGGGATCTTCATCACAAAATTGCCTGCTGTCATCTTACAATAGTATTATATAATGCATTTTTTCAGAAAATCCCGACATTCGATACTGGGTTCACTTTCACTCATGTTAACCCCGTCCAGTGGAGGGACTGTGCTTTAACATTAACCGTGACAGTATTATAACGACAATATAAACATGCTCTAAACACAAGTTCCTCCAAGGTTCAAACCTCTAATACACTTTCTACTGTACGTGCACTGTACTATAAGTCTGTATGCATACTCGTCTTATATAATAATTAATACACAAATCCACAAACGCCCGTGAACGTCAGATTACAATTTAATTGAATTTCGATTGCATTTTAAAGATGATCGTATATTTACATTTCTGGAGGTGAGATAATATAATAAATAATGATATGCTATATATACACACATATAAAACCTCATTAACATTCATTCGCCTGTGATCCCGGCCATCTCATTTCGCAAAAAAAAATTATCGACCTACCTTCCGTTCCGACAACACTTCTTCCCTTCCTTTTGGGTACCAAGCAACACAAATCTGTCCTGCTTTGAGACTCCTTGATTCTTCATCGGAGTCACTATCGCTGCTAAACCCTTCACTGTTCTGTATAACTAACCCGTACTGCACAGCACCGTGGTGAATCCGGCGAACAACATCTTCATCGAACAAGACGGCCATCTTTCCTGCAAAGGGGGTTATTATGAAACGTTGTTTCTTTCCTCCACACATTGAGTCATTCTGCTCAGAAAGCATAGCGGGCGCTGTTAAAGGATAACCCGCCGTGAATTATGTGAACAGCAACTTGCGAACATTTCACCGGGGGGGGGGGGGGGGTTTACATAGAACTTGCCTAATGGGGAAGTGCCCCTGAAATGGATCTCGATTTTTGATTTTAGGTATAAGTATAGGTCTTATTTCTGTTCAAAATAGGTATAAATATCGTTAATATTTTTACGATTTGGTATACTCATGGGTCCGTATATGAGCGAATATCTCTACCTCAGATCCATATATATCCTCGGCATTGACGCTGCAGGTCGGCGTCCTTTCTACATTCCTGAACTTGAACCAACTCTTCTTAACAATTCCCACATTGTTTTGGTGCCGAGACCAGGATACAGGATGGCAGAATCTGCTCAAGCGACACGTCTACCGAAGCTCAAAGGTACCCGAGCAGCACACCGCGGTCAAATGACAAAACTCTTCAGAAAAGCCGAAGAAATCATCAAGACGCTTCCTCAAGATTGTAACAACGATCTCTTAGATGAAATCACCGCTACCCGAGAATTACTACACGCCAAATACGAACTCCTAGCTAATCTAGACAAGCAGATAGTCGACGCAACAGAAGATGACGACCTCGAATCAGACATCTATGACAGGAAATTCAAAGTAAGCCAATTCATCGAAAGAAAACTACGAAAACAGACTCAACCGAGCAACCCCAGAAGTCCCAGTACCGGAAACGT